AATATTCTTAGACTTCATTTAATTCGTAAAATTATGATTATTATCAGTATTTGAAAGATCTTCAGAATTACATAGATCTTCTGTATTTTCAGAATTCGCAGAATTTTCAGTATTTTCAGAATTCTGGATTAGGAGATTGTTATATTGCGTCATCCACGTGACTTCATTATAACTAGTTAATTGCTCCATTGATAACGTTTAAAATCTTTTTATGTTATCTAGAAATGCCAGCAAAAAAGTTGGTATATATTTTTATTTTTTTGTTATTTTTATTAATAATATATTTTTTTTTGTTTTTATCAAATAGCAGACGGATGAGATAAACAGGAAGGAGTAGTAGCTGGAGTATAGCTAGGAGTGGATTTTTTTACTAGCTGATCTAGCTGACTGGTAGTGCGTTATATTTCGCTATTAAGCTAAAGGTATAGAAAGAGTTGACAATAACTTTGGTAAAGAAGCTGCTTTTTTTTGAAGAGGAATTAGCTGTACTCCCTTTACAAACCAATCAAATAGGTTTTCAGACTAATAAAATTAGTCATAAGGCCTATCATACCTCTTGTACAATCTTTAATATTTCAATAATCTTTGATATATAGGAATCGCATTTAAAGTTTCAGGCCAAACCTTTATATTGCGTCTAATCAGAAGAAAATTTTCTTTTGATTTGGATCAGGCCTTACAAACAGTTTGAAGTTATCTTTACCTTCACTATATGTGTGATTAGATTTTGAAATTTTCAAAATCTATCATACAGGTGTGATGATTTTTAAATCTATTATATTCTCTGGCTGCACTACTCTTACGGATCAAGTATCAATCTGGATTTTTGGCCTTCGTAAGTTAATTTTTATTTATTGTTTTCTGATCTTTAATCTTGTTATATGAGTTGTACAATTATCCTTCTTATAATTACAGTAATAGCAATTATTGTGTAATATAATAGATAAAATGTATATATATATTAAATAATGTTTTCATAATTTTTTTAAAAAATTATTATAATGTAAATAAAGTTTCTATTGAATTAATTACTATTTAATAAATAAAAAAAAAAAATTTAAAATTGAACGCGAAAAAAAAATATTTGTGGACAAAGATCAAAGGCAAGCATTAACATTATCCAAACCAGGGATGATGATTTTTTGTGGTGATATAAAGTAAATTTTGTGTGTGATAAAAGTAAATTCTGTGAAATTTTGTGATTTGGCCGGAATTAAGCAATGTTGGCCAACATTACGACTCGTAAATTCTGCCCAAATTAAGTGTTTACCGGAATTACAATGATTGCAAATCCTAAATTAGGCCAAAAACTTGAACCAAATTTTGTGATTTTCTGTGATCCAAACCTGCAACTTCCTTATGATCCAGGTCATTTATTTTTGACATTTTGAAGTTTGTCAATAAAAAAAAAAAACACTTCCGAACACCAAGAAAAAAATTTTTTTCATTAGGATTTTCAAAAAAGCGTTCTGTTACGTTATTTTTATGTCAATTTACTTTGGATAAACGGACTAAGTATAGGTTTTATTTAATCCTGTAGCCGGTCGCCGTTTCTTAACTTTCGGGCATTTTTATTTGGCGCAGTACCGACATCATGATGAAATGTTTGAAATGACGTAAATTACATTTCGATATTTAATTTTGATTAAAAGTTAAGCCAGAATTAACCTATGTTTCGTTATAATTTGTTAGCGTTCAGAACATAAATCCATGTTAAAAGGATGACCACGGAAAAGCAAACTCCACTCTTAGTTGACTTGCATGTGAAATACATTCAGTCACTTGACACGGTAAAGTATATCAAAAATGGAAACTTTGTATTTCAGAACTCTATTTAACTTGATATATCAAATAAAGAAAAAGGACGACTTGGAATACTGGTTAACAGAACATTTACGTTTGAGTGGTGTTTACTGGGGCCTCACAGCTTTGGACTTGTTAAACAATGTTGATGCGCTTAAGAAAGAAGACGTGGTGAAGTATGTGATTTCTTGTCAGCATGATAATGGTAGTCTCAGTTTGAAAACTGACTTGTATATATATTGACTTTTATTTGTTTGAAATTTATTTCTGATTTATATTATTTACATTCTAGGTGGATTTGGTGGACATGTCGGACATGATCCGCATTTATTGTATACGCTCTATTCGGTGCAAATTTTGGTAATTGAAGATTCATTAGATGCTGTAAATGTGGATAAAATTGTTGAATGTGAGAAAAATCAAATTGAATTAATCTGTGATTTTGATGTATATATATATATTTCCTTTGCTTAACAACGATAACGTTTTACTAGATGTTGCCTCTCTTCAAGATCACGCGACAGGAGCTTTTAGGGGAGATGAATGGGGAGAGATTGATACTCGATTCTCCTATGGTGCTTTATCTTGTCTTTCCCTATTGAAGCGTTTAGATGCTGTAAATGTTTCAAAAGCTGTTGAATTCATTATGCTTTGTAAGAATTTTGATGGAGGATTTGGTAGTTCACCTGGAGCAGAATCACATGCGGGTCAAAGTAAGGCTTGTTTATGTTTAATAATATTAACCCTTTTTTTGGACAAAAATTTAAACACCAAGTTGTTTTTTTTATAAGTTTTTTGTTGCGTCGGCGCTCTTGCCATCGTTAATTCGTTACATTTGGTCGATGCTGATTTACTTGGATGGTGGCTCTGTGAACGACAATTGAAAAATGGTGGATTAAACGGGCGACCAGAGAAACTTGAAGACGTACGTTATTTAATTTTTGTTACAAATTCATTGATAAAAGGTTAAAAGATTAGTTATTTATATTTTTAGGTGTGTTACTCCTGGTGGGTTCTTTCTGCGCTTAGTATCCTGGGCAGGTTACATTGGATTAATAAAGAAAAGTTGATTGAATTTGTGTTGGCTGCTCAGGTACTTCCATATTACTCCAGGATATTTAATATTATTATGTATTTTAGTAAATGGTTGGTATTTTATTCCAGGATCCTGAAGGTGGAGGCATTGCTGATAGACCAGGAGATATGGTGGATGTATTTCATACCTTGTTCGGAATTGCAGGTACTATATATAATCTTAAAATATCATTAATGTTAAGTTATCAAAACACTTAATATATTAACATGTTATTTTCTTTCATGAGGTTTATCGTTGTTAGGATACCCAGGTTTGAAATTGGTCGATCCAGTTTATTGTTTACCAAAACACGTTGTGCAAAGAATCGGATTGGCGGAGAGATATCATGTATAAAAGTCATTGATGACTTTACGTTACATATAAAAGTTAATTTTACATGAAATAAATCCTACGTTTTCTTCATTATTAACTTGTATCCTCTAACTCATTAATCTATTATACACTTAATAAATTAACTTTCACTAAATATAAACTTTTATTTCAATATTTAATTCAAAATAATAATATTCTTTTTTAACAATATCAAAGTAAATTATAATATAATTGTTTAACGATAACGACGAAGAGAAAGTGTGTTGCGTCTGCGCCAATTGGAATAACGACCACCACCTTTCGTCTTGTTGTAACGACTTCCTTTTCCAATACCACGATTTTTCTTACCGATACTAGTAAGAGCACGAGCTTCACGATGTTTATGTTTAGCAGATACAATCCAACTAATTCTAGGATCACGGCGAATAGCCTTATGATTAGGATCAACAAGGATAACTTCAAAGTATTTATAAGTAGAATCCTGATTAAAAAAAGATAAAATTTTAATAACTTTAATTAAATTTCACAACTAAAAATAAAGTCCAATTCAGCATAAAATGTTACCTGATTAATCCAGTATGAATTCAAAACACGTAAATTGCTACATTTACGACCAACACGTTCTTCAGCTGTTGCTCTGAGAGAACGTTGATATTTAAGTTGATTTACACCCTGGTTTACGGGTTTACCATAAGTAGCACCTTTTGGTACTGGTCTCTTACGGCCACCACGACGAACGCGGATTCTATAAACAACATAACCTTGTTTGGCCTACACAGAGAGATTTATAAATTAATCTTCCATAATTCTTAAAGAATAAGATAATAACATTTAAATATAACACAACCTTGTAACCCAACCTACGAGCTTTATCAGGTCGAGATGGGCGAGAAGCTCGATGAATGACATTTAATTGTCTATATATTTTTTTGATTTTTTGGATTCCGTTGTATATATATTTTTTTCGAGACAGGATAAAAAAAGAACATACCATATGCGGGATATGTATAATAATATAAATTTTAATAATTTTTTATGTTATAATTGGTTCATTGGCAATGAAATATTTAATGTCCCATGATATTATATAATTTTTTCTTTAATATCCCGCATAATATGGAAACATTTTATTTCATGCCTAAATATAATTTCTCGAGAATCAAGATAAAAAAATTTAATTGACACTTCACATAATGTGAATTAATCAAATCAATATTTTCTCATCTGATCATTGAGAAAGTATAGAGAAATGGATAGGATGAAGGAATGTAATAAATAGACTACCTGTATTCCCAACACCTAACACGATGTAAGAAACAAAGTACATCAGACTGCTTCTTCTTGTAAAGTTCTTCGAGATACTTGTAGGCTTTTTTTTTTTTTTGGAAATAATTCAACAATTAGTATATATTAGATATATCAAAATCAATATTTTAATACATACCACCCATGAATTTATCCTGAACTCTTGGACTATTCAATTAAAGAAAGTTATTCACAAAAAAAAAAAAAAAAAAAAAAAAATTTAATAAATTATCAATCAAAAAAAAAAAAAAACCATTTTTAAAATAATTGAATCAACATTCATCCATTAATTTTTTTACAATTCTATTTCTATACTAAAAAGAACTAACGTAATTCGAAGATATTTACCTTCAAGCAATGGATAGAGGAAGATTGTTCGATTTACGCTTAAGAACGAATCTTTATACTAAAAATTTTTTTTTTTTTGTGTAATGTGATGAAAATTATAATTTTGGCCGAAATTTTTAATTTTGGTTTCACGTGATCGGAAACATATTTTAGGTAATATATCTTTAAAAAAATTTTTTTATCCCATTTTTTCTTTTAGCTATTTTTTTAAAAAAATATTTATAACTAATTATTAGAATTAATATACTTTAAATAAACAAATTTTATATAATAATTTTTTTATATGTAACTTTAAAAAAATTTGATTTGATTTAAATAAATTTTGTTTATTAAATTATTTATATTAAAAAATTAAAATACAGTGTTAGTTTTATAATAGTTAAATTAAAAATTTTCAATACTAAAATTATAAAAAATGATAAATTTCTATATTTTTCTTAATATTAATAAATATAATATATTAATAAGTAATAAGTTTTATAAAAGTATTTATTTAATAAAAAGATTTTTTTATTAAATAAAGAGTTATAAATAGAAAAGATTAGTTTTTTTATCATTATCATTACAAAATATAGATTATTAAAATTAATAAATTGGTATTATTAAATAATATTAATATTATTATCATGAAATTCTTTAATTTACTTTATAAAATATAATAGCAGTCATAAGTATCTGACCACTTCTAACTCCGGTTATAAGTAAGTAAATTCAAAATTTTTTTTTATTTAAAAAATACATAATCAATTAACTAAAATTAATACATTATGTAGTCACCATCTGGCTCTATAAATGCAACTATACGTCTTTTCATGCTAGCTACCAAATTCGTGATAAGTACAAGTGATAATTAGTTTCATTCTTTTATAAGTTCTCCTTTTAACCCTCTAATTGATTAAATTTTTTTTATATATTAATTTTTATTAACCTTTAAACATTTTCTATAAGGTTTTGATCTAGAGACATTGATAATCAAAAGGTATCTTAATGCTATTTTCTTTCTTTCATTTTTTCACGATTTTTAATAGATGCTTTAGATCATTATCTTTTTGCAAGATCTAATCTATGTTACTCTCACCAAAAAGTTTAGAGGTAAAAGCCAGAAAATCTTGCTCATAAATAATACATATAAATTTAGCATTAAGGTTCCTTTGAAAGCAAAATAATTTACTAAATCCAAAAGTAAAAAACATTCTCAAACATGAATTTTTGGTAAATGCTTAACAAAACGAAATACTTTTTTTCTATCAAGAAACTGCTAAACCTTTTTTTTTAATATGTATAATTAAAATATACTCTTATTTATAAAAATAACTCGATTTCAATCAAAATTCTTATGTTTTTTTGTCTATTACAACCTTTTCTTTTAATGGTTTTCTTTAAGTAAAAGTTTAGAAATTTTATTACTAAACTTTTCTTCAGACTTACAAAAACATCATCTTACTGTTTCTACACTAAGCCCAATACCTCTTTCTTTCATTTTTTCTTGTATTTGAATGGCTATTATATTATGTTCTTTCTCAGTCATCTTTATAATTTTATCATCTTATTTCACAATAGTTACATAAGACCACCCTGATCTTTTTAAAGTACTTAGGTCCTAATCTTCATGATATTTTTTAATCCAATAAATAGCTATAGACTTACTACTATAAACCTGTTTAGTATAAATCTAAAACTAAACTTTAAACTAGCTGGATGTTTACGTAAAAGGATAATTTCATAATGTTTTTTAAAGAAAACTTCATTTTTTAAGTAAAAGTTTGATAATCATCTAAATTTTTTTTTGTATTATTGATACTTATAAATTTACCAGTGATCATATATTGTGTTATATTATATTTCTGAAAAATTTAAGGAATAGTTATATAATAATTTTAGACAATCTTAGATGATCAAATACTTATGATCGCTATTATATAAAAAGATAAAAAAATATGAGTTTTAATTAATTTCTTTATTATAATATTAAAACTCATAATTACAAAAGAGTTAATTTATAATATAAGCAAAAAATTTATCTATTTAAACAAATTCTTTATTATAATTAACTTATTATTACATTATAAACTAACTAATTAATATATAAAATTTAAGTAAACTAAAATAAAAAAAAGTAGATATTAAAAATAAGTATTATATTAAATATTATCAAACTTCATTCAATCTATAAAATTAAAGTATATTATCAATATTTAAAAATCAATAGAATTTTATAGATCTTTTATATTTTTAGAATTTTATATTAAGAGAGTATTATACTATGTGATCTATATAACTTTATTTTTATTGATTAATTATTTTGTTAATAATATTAAAAATTTGCATTATAAAATTGATTTATACAGTCAACTCTTGTTATAACGAACTCTATGTCCTAGACCTCAACTTCGCTATAAGGCTATAGTGAAGATTTTAAGAGATTTGATTGGCCAATTCGCTATAACAAGAGTATTTTTATTATATTTGTTCAAAAAATTCATTATATCAAGAGTTCGCTATAACAAGAGTTGACTGTAAATAATTTATTGGATAGAAAAGTAATAAAATATAATATATATTAGTAATATTTTATTTAAATAATGTCTTTAATTTCTTAAAATTTTCTAATTTTTAATATAAATATATTTATTAATCTAATTATTTGATAATGTATTATTTAATCTTAAAAATCTGAAATTTAATTGATAAATAAAATGTGATATTTTTTATAGTAAAGGATAATAGCCTTTTATATATAGATATAATTAGCAATTCTACCTAAATAATACCTTGAATCATTATCATAATAAGAAAAAATAAGATTTTAACATATTTTTAAAATAATATTAATATACTTTTGATTGTATTTTTATTTTTTTAATTATTTAATACAACTTTCACAAATTTTTGTTTTAGATTTTTTTAATTATTTATTTAATTTTAATTAATTTTAGTTAATTTTAAATATTTTATTTTATTTAATTAATTATTTTTTTTTTTTTTTTTTTTTTTACGTGCGGTAGCTTTGCACAATCTTTATTAAAAGTAAAGTAAAAAAAAATTATAAATTACAAGTGAGAGAGTACAAAAATTTCTATCTAGTAAACTAAATCAAAACTAACCTTGCACCGTTCTAGACTAACCTACCCTAAACTAAGTTAAAACAGGTTCTACCATCCAGTATGGGGGCCTGGTTACTACTGATCCAAAAATTTGATCAAGGCGTTCCAAAAAGGAATGAATTATTAAAATAGAAAGGGATAGTAAAATTGTGGGGGGTGGAGTCAGGAAAACCAGTAGAAACAGTATTTTCTTTTCGATCCTTGAAAGACAAGTTGTGTGCATCTTCAAATTTTTTTAGAGTGGCACATCGATCGAACCAGAGAGCTTTGATTTTTTCATGAGTGAAGTGGTATGTTGAGGAAAGTTTTTTTTAATTAATTATTTTTTATTTATCCTTTATAAATAATTTTTTTAATTTTTTTTTAATTTCAAATTTTAATTTTAATTTTTTTATTTTTTTATTTCCTTTTTATTTTTTAGTTTTTTTTATATTATCTCTTTAAGCGTTTTGCAAGCAAATTTGCTTGCAACTTTATTTAATAATTAAAATTATCTATAATAATTTTAAATATTTTTTAAAATAATTTATTTAAAAATTAATCTTTTTATAATAAATTTTATAATGTTTTCTAAAAATAAATATATGATAAATTATTATGAAAAAAAATTAAATTTTAAACTTATATATTTTGCTATTTATTAATTTCAAAAATATAAAAATATAATAATTTAATAAGTCTTAATAAGATAAATCTAACAAACTAAATTTTATTTTCTTGTAATTATTAAATAATAAGTTATTTTAAAAAAATTGAAAAATTGAAAAATTAATATATAAATAATTATTGATTTTAAAATTTTAAAATACTATTATTAAATAGATATTAAAATTAACAAATTTAATAAACTTTATTTCATCTTTTTTTAATCATTAGATATTAAAATATTATAATTTTTCTATAATATTTTATAATTAATTTATACCTATGCTTTAAGAGATAATATTTATTTTATTTATTTTTTTATTTTATTTAATTTTAACAGTTTAATGATTAGTAAGAAAGTATAACATCTTTTATAATAAAGAATAATAGTATATTTAATATAGATAGACTAGTAATTTTATCTAGATAATTACTTCAGAATCATTATTGTAATATAAAATTTTAATATAAATTTAAAATATATTGTAATACAAGAGATCTGCAAAAGTAAAAGATTATATAATACAGCTAAAAATAATCTGCAAGAAGTTAGTATAATATGGAAGATCATAGTAATGATCAACTTAGATATTATACAAAACCCTAAGATAAAATAATCAATAAAGAAAAATAAAATCATTAGCTATGATGATATGTGATATACAGTTAACTTTTGATATAGCGAACTCTTAATATAACAAATTTTTTGAATAAATATAATAAAAATACTCTTGTTATAGCGAATTGGCCAATTAAATCTCTTAAAATCTTCACTATAGCCTTATAGTGAAGTTGAGGTCTAGGACATAGAGTTCATTATAACAAAAGTTGACTGTAAGTCTAAAATAAGTATACCAAAGAGAAACTCCAAAGGGAAAAGAAAATGTAGCAATGATAGAGTAATAATTAAAATATTTTTATGAAACTATATAGTTATTAATTATAGAGTTATTATAGGTAGTCATTACTTTAACTAATATGAACATTAATCATTGATGAAGAAATCATTATATAGTATTCTATAATAAGATAAGAATTATTTTAGAAAT